CCAAGTCGGTGCCTTTTCTCGTGGGCGGGGTGTGGTGGAAAACGCATACTGCTTCTGCCCATGCGGTTCCTACCCTGCGGATGCAGAGCCGGCGGCTGTGAGAAAGTGCTGGGTTAAATTCCAGCTTGGAAAGGGAGCCCTGATGGTGCCTGGCCCTCGAGAGGAGAGACTGGTAACACACCAGAGACTGACAGCAGTCTGCAGTCTCCCTCCCAGGCCTGCCTTGCTGATTTTGGTCTGCTGCCCCCTGCAGGAGCAAGGTGGACCCGCAGGACATGGATAAGACGCTCCATGCCATCCAGACTGTTTCTGGAATCATGCAAGGGCCTTTTGACTTGGGCAACAAGCTGCTGGGCATGAAGGGCATCATGGAGATGATGGTTGCTTTGTGTGGCTCTGAAAGAGAGATCGACCAGCTTGTGGCTGTGGAGGCCCTCATCCACGCCTCCACGAAGCTGAGCCGGGCCACCTTCATCATCACCAATGGAGTGGCACTGCTGAAGGAAGTCTACAAGAAGACCAAGAATGAGAAGATCAAAATTCGTGCTCTAGTGGTGAGTGTTCTGCCCGCTCTGCCCCTTGCCAACACTTTATCACCCTCGACCTCTGCATCCATTCCCGGGGACAGGCACGGTCTAGGTTTGCGATGCTGTCATTTCCTCTGCCACGGCTAGGGTCTCATCAGTAAGAACATCCACTGGCATCCCTCTGAGAAGTCAAGGAGGGCATGGCAGCTTGCAGGTCTTGGCAGAGGACAAACTTTGTAATGCAACAAAACTCCTTGTCTGCCATCTTCAATTCCTCTCCAGTGACTGCTATGTAAAGCTAACCCGTTGGGTCAAGCTTCTTTTAATGCTTCTGCATGGGGACGAACTTCTCAGTCATATAATGGACAGTGAACGGTGGCAGGGCTTCAAAATAAATGGAAAATCTGCTTAAAGCAACACAGAACTTTCTTTGCTAGAATCTGTCTCAGCTTATGTAGATCGACCATTTGTTGCTTTTCTTGTAAATTTGAGGCCATCTTGATGCTGTCCCAGAAAAGGTTCATATTCCTTCATTGAGCTACATTGTGTTCTTTCATTCTCTGATGCAGGGTCTTTGCAAGCTGGGATCAGCGGGAGGAACTGACTATGGCCTGCGACAATTTGCTGAGGGGTCCACGGAAAAGCTGGCAAAGCAGTGTCGAAAGTAAGCAAGGCTGAAACAAGCGTGTTGCTTGTGTTCCACTCCTTGCTTTCCAAAATGCTTTTCTGTTCCATCTCTCCTGAGGAGGGCCTCGCGTACGTGGTGCTTTCACTGTGTTGCTGATAAAATCTAGATGGTGCTTAACTGCTGGAAACATTTAGGAATCCATGCCTAGAACTCTTATACCCCCTTTTCTGTTTCCCCGCTGCTCTTTCATCTTTGCTAGCACCAAAATCCGTCCGGTTCCTCACCCCGTAAGAAACCACAGAAGATAATCCGATTGTCTAAAAGGTATAATATATTAAAGGTGTCTCTTATAAAAAGCATAAGCACACTACCACTCCCGATTCCCTATGGAACATCATCCAAAGGGAACCTTGGCCATTAAGAGCTGTGGTTTTCTGCATCTGTTTCATGGCACATGAGGATGCTGCTAAAAATAAAGCACAATGCCCCAGCATCCCTTTGGGGTGTTGCCTCTTTTACCCCTGTGAATGTGTTCTCATTCAGGTGGCTGTGCAACACCAGCATTGACACCCGCACCAGGAAGTGGGCTGTGGAAGGTCTGGCGTACCTAACCCTGGATGCAGACGTGAAAGATGAGCTTGTGGAAGATAAGCCAGCCCTGCAAGCCATGTTTGAATTAGCGAAGGTACATTCTCCTCTCCCAGGCTCTTGCCAAGCTAAAATAATCCCTTGTCTTCTGACTCCAACCTCGTGAACACTGGATGGTTAATGATCTTGGTGGGCGATCATGAAAGGTGACTGTGAATAGGGGCATAGCTGGGGTGGGGAAAGGGGGCAGTTGCCCCCAGACTAGGGCGAGAGCAGGAGAAAGGCATGGGAGGGTCTGGGGCCGCCCAGCCCTGCTGCAGCCACATCAGGCCCTCCTGCACTGTTCTCCCTGCCCCTCCGCCCCCTCTCTCACTATGCCCCAACAGGTCATTATGGGGTGCTGATGAGCATTGTTCATGAAATGATGCGATGCCTCTTAATGTCCCACCGAGCCAGCACCAGTCACCCACCAGCTGAACAGAATCTTCCTCTGGAGTATCTCAAGTGTTGTTTACCTCTTGCAGCTTTGCTTATAAGTAACTATACATCAATAACATGGCGCTAGTGATGTACAAAGAGGTCCAGTAACTTCACTATAAAACCTAGAACAGAATTGGAGAGTCCTAGCCCCCATAGTCTTCTCCAGCGGCTATACCACCTTCCCGGTTGGGCTCTCAACTTGGCAATTCATTTTTGTGTTTCCATTTGCTGTGCAGACAAGCGACAAGACTATCCTGTACTCGGTGGCTTCCACACTAGTGAACTGTACCAACAGTTACGATGTCAAAGAGCTGGTCCCGGAGCTTGTGCAGCTGGCGAAGTTTTCCAAACAGCATGTTCCTGAGGAGCACCCCAAGGTAGGTGTGTTACGCCCCAGAGTGCGGTACCCTCTTGCTTTGTCTCCCATGGTAGGGATTCCCAAACCCCATGGACAGTGTCCCTGAGAAGGTCTGTATCTACAGCTACTTCCTGGGAAGGCTTAGCTGTGGTAACATTGCCCATTTACGGCCATTCAGGTCTTTGCATCTTGGGTTGTATGTCCCAACGACTAAAGGAAGATGCTTTTTTTTCATTATGGGGTTGCCTCGAGGCTCCAAACTGAGACTGTAAATTCTTCAGGACAAGAACTGATTTTCTAGCTGTCCAGCACCTAGCACAATGGGGGTCACAATCTATGTAAAACAAAAGGGTGGGGGAAACTGAGGCACAGGGAAGCAATTTGCCTAAGATCTTGTGGCAGGTGGGTGGGTGAGATGGGAGCAGAAACAGGATTTCCTGAGTCCCGGCCCATTGGATTCATGCTGCCTGTCTATCTGATGAGAGGAGTTTACCAGGTATCAAGCCAGAGCATAAATGTCCAGGACAGTAGCTTGCCCCTGCAGAAACGTCCCATGGAGACATTGGTGCAAGCCACTAAAAGCTCCAGTGTGAGCAGTAAGGTACCTCCATGACCTCACATTCCAGAACTCAGCGCCCCGGGCCTGTGCCACACGGATAGACGGTACTGAAGGCCCAAGCTTTCTCCATGGTAACGTGTGCAGAGAAGCCCACGTATGTGACTGTAGTCAGGGGTGGTGGCTGCATGTCGAGATGCTGATGGGACCCTGTTCACTCTTCAATGCCACTTTCCAGGACAAGAAGGACTTTGTTTGGAAGCGAGTGAAACGGCTGCTCAATGCTGGTGTCATTTCTGCTCTGACCTGCATGGTGAAGGCCGATAGCGCCATCTTAACAGACCAGACCAAGGAGCTACTAGCCAGGTATAACCCTGGGGCAGCTGCTTGGGAATTTACTCTAGATGGTCTTGCAGGAGAAAACCTTCACTGTAAACTTTACTACCATGGGGGCTACACTACAGTTTATAGCTCAGTTGAATGCCCCAGTAGGTTAAACTTCCAAGTACCAGGATAAATTGGTTTTGTTTCACACCTATTAACCACTGAACCCCATTAAAGCTCTTAGCACAAGGTGTAATTTACATGATGTCAAAAGAGAAACATATGCTGTGGATTCACACCAACAAGTTCTGCCAATCAAAGCTAAAGGTGACAGCAGAGGAAAATGAGTGTTTACAAAAACCTGAATTTGGTCCAGAAACTAAATGATTACGGTCAGTTACAATCTATCACTAGGCTGACAAGTTCAATAGAGGTAGCTGCTTTAGTCTGTTTCAGCAAAAACAAGTTGTCCCATGGAGCCTTAAAGACTAACCATTAATCTTTCTCATCAGCTGTTATGAGTGGGCCACGCCCACCCTGATTGAATTGTCCTTGTTAGCACTGGTCCTCTGTATAGTAAAGTAACACACCTATCTTTACATGTATGTATCAATCAAACTGAAGTTTCCACCTAATGCATCTGAAGTGGGTTCTCTCTTGTGCCCAAATGAAATCATTAGGCCACGTCTGCACTTACCGGAGGATCGACTCGCTAAATCACACACTGAGGGCTCCTGTTGACCTCCCACTATGGAGATGGTGCCAAGCTCAGCTTAAGGTATGTCAACTCCAGCTATGTTATTACATAGCTGGAGCTGCGGACCTTAAGCCGACCTTCTGAGTGTAGTGTAGACCTGGCCTTAGACTTCAAGGTGCCACAGGACTCCTCCTTGTTATCACTAGGCTACAGCTTGAATTTCTAATCTTACAAAACATGGTACAAATCTAATGGGATAATGGAGGAATTGGAGATGAGGAACAAAGCAGCTGCCATTCTCTAATGTATTACGTTATTGCATTGTATTAAAACTTCAGCCTCACTGGTGCAGATACACCCGTAAGGGCTGGACCTACAGGTGCGGGAAGTGCTGCTGCACTTTCTGGCAGGAAGTGGTTTCCATATTATGCAGAGTTTACAATTTGGCTCACTGGCCCTCAGGGTCCCCTTTGTGCACACTGTTCCAGCTTCCTTGAAAACACCTGCTGAATTTACTTTTTCACTGAGCGTTAACCCCTCACCTCATAACCGACAGATCAAGTGGGACATACTCTCTTTGCAGACCTTTTTTTTCCTCACCACTGCTGGGTTTTTTCAGGGTCTTCCTGGCCTTGTGTGAGGATCCCAAGGACCGTGGTACCATCGTCGCGCAAGGTGGTGGCAAGGTAACCGACTCTTCTCAGGCCTTTAGAATATTCTGGAACTGATGTGCATAGTCCGGAATGTTCAACCGTTCTGAGCCAACTCTCGCTGCATGTGTGAGAAACTCTCATCATTTTAACACTTGCTATGGAGGGGCCTAAACCAGTGATACACATTTTAATGATTTAAAATCTTAAACCCCTAAAAAAAGGGGTGGTGGTGAATGTTCTGGATATGGTTTTTAACTTGAGCATGGAGAAAAACAAAATTCCTCTTGGAGTGCTTGCCCATGGCTGTTCCCCTGTAGGTGTTTGTGCTCTCCAGGGGTTCTCCTCTCGGTTCCTCCTGTGCACCCCCATTTCCCACAGACAAATCAGAATCACAGCTGCCTCCTCCATCCCAGTCCTGGAGGAAGTCTCTTTGGCAGAGGAATCCTGCTCGAGAGAACATCAGTGCATGCTGCTGAATGGTAGGAAGTATTTTAGCTGGCTGAATGGAAGAGATTTTCCATCCAGTTCAGACTAAGAGATTCCTCTTCTCTTTCTTCTATTCAGCACATGCCGGATACCCACACACGAGGCTGCAAACGACTTCAGAAGAGTTGAGTCCCATCTCTGGTTCAGTGGTGGCATGCAAGGGACATGGCAGAAGGGTCTGTCTTGTAGGGGTCCACTTCAAAAGACAACTTTCCTTGACCTTCACGAGTTGTCAGTTTGCTCTGTCAGAATACGCCTCAGGTCTATAGCAGCATTGTGCCCACCTGCGGAGAGCTGCTCTTATGGCCATTGGGATGGAATGGAGAGATTTGATTTTTAAAGGGATTGGACAGAACCTCAGTCTCATCTTACAAAGCTGATGAGTCTCTGCTTTGCACCTCTAGTGACTGCTCTGTTGCACCTTTCAATGAAGGTGGCATTTTTGGTAGCCATTACATCAGCCAGGAGAGTGGCAGAGGTGAGGGCTTTAGTAGCTGATCCTCTGTACGTGGATTTCTATGCAGACTAAGTCTGCCTTTGTCCTCACCCATGTTTTCTTACTAAGGTGGTCTCCACTTCCCATATGAACCCAGCACATTTCTTACAGCCCTTCTTCCCAGAGCCTTGTTCCTATAAAGGGAAGGAGAGACAGGAGGCTCTGGGCGTTAGAGCATTTAATCTGGAACAGACTAAACCTACCTGGTCTTCCTTTAAACTGTTCATTGCGTGTGAGGACAGAAGAAAGGCCAGTCCTGTTTCCACACAGAGGATTTCTTCATGGATACACAGCTGTATTCAACCAACTGGCTAACATGAAGCCACCAAGTAGTGTTGAGTCATTCAAGCAGGTCCCAAGCGACTGCCTCAGATGTTGTGGCTAGCATGTCCACATAGAATGTTTGCACAGTGGTGGCTGAGCATCGTGTTACCTGTTAGCATAGTGAGAGGCAATCTCTCAACCAGGGCTACTTAACACGTGGCCCGCAGCCCATTTGTTTGTGGTCTGCTGTGAGGCTTGGGTTTACACGGGCTCAATAGGCAGCCCATGTGCGGGAGCCAAACCAAAAAAGTCGTCAATAGAACGGTCTTCAGTTGAGATGCGTTTTAGTAGTTAAATCCCTGGACTGGCATTGCTCATTCAAAGTGCTGTCATGGGGTGGAAATCCGGTAAATGTTGCATTTTATTAATATCAGCAGAACTGACTGAAATAGGGCCTGTGTGTGGTGTAGTCTTGCCTTGATCTTTGTATTCATGTCCCTCAGTGTGAGAGAAGCTATTTGCATATATTTGCATGTAAATGCAACCACACTTAAGTTGTGGCCCTCGGCATGTGCTGAGAGTATCACTGTGGCCCCCCGGGCTTCCAAAGTTGAGTAGCCCTGATCTAGACTCTAGGGATATAAAAAAAGGTTAATAATTAGTAACCATATAATCAATTAAAATTCCATCATTTACATGGTTAAATGGTTCCAGTGGTGCCGCTCTCGTGGGCTGCCATTCCCATGGACTCCCGGTGGCACCAGCCCCCTTAGCAATTGTTCTGATGCTTGTTAAACTCCTACATCCCTACTAGGGGTGATGCTTAATTTGACTGAGTGGTCATCCAGTCCCTGTTCAAACAGACTCCAAATTCACCTCCTGCTTGTGAGTCATCTACACTGACATGGACCTCTGCAGTCACTCAAAAAACCCTTTCTGTAATGACCTTCAAGATGTGTTGCCCATATCTGCTTCGTGCCCCCACCATCCTTGCCTTCTGAGCCTTTCTGCTGGGGAGGTACTAAGGGGGGTTCCAGGGAGCTCGGTCTTTTGCCTGAGTGTGAGGCAGCAGGGGGCATTTGGGCAACTGTGATGGATACCCCTGGAGTGCAGTGGAATGGCCATGCCATGTGCTGTGGATGAGGAGTACAGCTAGTTCGGATTAGGAAGCCTAATCCGAACTAGCTACTCCGTGCTGCGTGTAGCCGCGCGGCACGGGGTTCGAACTGCCGGCATTTAAAAATGGCGCCGGCCGGCTTTATGCAAATGAAGCCCGGGAAATTCAAATCCCGGGCTTCATTTGCAATTGCTGTATGACTACATTACCCTCCTATTTCGAATTAGGAGGGTAGTGTAGACATACCCTAAGTGGGCAGTAGCAGAGGGCCGGCAGCAGCTGCACTATGAGTCTATGAGTCTATGAGCTCCAACCCTGGTGGCAGACAGGAAGCTCCAGCCCTGGCAACAGCAGGAGCTGGAGAGCTCTGGCCCAGGGAGCAGCAACAGGGCAGGTAGAAGGAGGTTGGGTTGGAGGGCAGCAGTTTAGCATGAGCCGGGAGGGGAGGGGCCTTCCCTGGTCCAGCTAATCCCCTTGTCCAGGACCAGTCTGGCCCCAAAAACGCTGGACCAGAGAGGTCCATCCTGTAGCAATTTTTACCAGACCAGCCTTTCTCCAAAGGAAAGCCACTTTCCCCAGTATTTTAAATATATGCATAGAAACCTCCCCAGAAAACTAGAAGTGATCCAGGATTCACATATTTGCCCAAGAGCCAAGCGTCTCTTTTAGCGCGCTGCTAGCAAGCTTACCGAATGAGACACGGCTTTTGTTTCCTTGCATCCTCTTGAGAGGTTTTCTAACATGACGGTTGAGCATATTTGCTGATGCTGTGCTATAAACTCCAGGAGATAGTGCCTCTACCAGGCCTTTCAGTAACCGTTTCCGCTGGTATCCACCGGCTCCTGCATCATCCAGAAATCCTGTTCTACCATTCAAGAGAAGTTGTCTCCCCAAGGCTATGTCTAGACTGCAGGCTTCTTTCGAAAGAGGCTCTTTCGAAAGCATCTTTCGAAAGAGCCTCTTTCGAAAGATCGCGTCTAGACTGCAGGCGGATCTTTTGAAAGAGCAATCCGCTTTTTCGAAAGAGAGCACCCAGCGAGTCTGGATGCTCTCTTTCGAGGAAGCCCTATTTACATTGAAGAACGCCTTCTTTTGAAAGAGGAACTTTCGAAAGAAGGCGTTCTTCCTTGTGAAACGAGGTTTACCGCCATCGAAAGAAAAGCCGCGTTCTTTCGAAATAATTTCGAAAGAACGCGGCTTGAGTCTGGACGCAGGGGAAGTTTTTTCGGGAAAAGGCTACTTTTCCCGAAAAAACCCCTGAGTCTGGACACAGCCCAAGTGGCCATGCAACACTGAAGCAATAAGACTCCACTACTCTGAAGTCATCTACGGGCTGATGTATGGGTATTTGACTCCACAGAAACATGAGATCCAACGTGATCTGCAAGTTAGTTTAGTGGACAAATAAATTTGAACAAAACTTAACTCTTCCAGAGTCTCTTCTGTAATAAACTAGAGTAAAATAGTGACAGTACAGTAAATCTTTCCGTAAGTCTGAATTCCTTGCTATGTGTCATAGGCCCTGATACCTCTGGCTCTGGACGGTACAGAAGTCGGCAAGGTAAAGGCTTCTCATGCCTTAGCCAAAATTGCAGCCATCTCCAATCCAGACATAGCATTCCCAGGCGAGAGGGTAAGTAAATGCAGTTGTTTTCTTGTTGTATTTTTGTGATAAGCCGATGGGGATCCAGACACCAAAGAGTGATCATCCGATATCCCCTCCTCATAGGTGTATGAGGTGGTGCGGCCGCTGGTCAGCTTGTTGAATACAGAGAGAGATGGGCTACAGAACTATGAGGCCCTGTTAGGCCTCACTAACTTGTCAGGAAGAAGTGATAAGCTCAGGTAAGTTCCAGTGGATTTTGTTACCTTTCCCCGTACAGCCCCCACCCTAGATTGCAGAACGTTTTGGAAAAGTCAGGATAAAACAGGCTCTCCTGCCAGGCTGGGTCAGCATAGCTCAGTAAGTACCCCCACCCCAGTGACATGGGGGGGGGTCTGTGGTAGAAGTGTGTGAAGATTTTTTTTTCTCCATTAAAACGTGTAACCTTCATTGAAAAAAGATTTTAAAGGAATATAGAGTTTTTGTTGAAAAGCTAAACATTTGTTTTTCTATAAATCAAAATCTGAAAATTAATTGTTCACAAAAATTAGTCCAAGCCACTTTTCATGTTGGGTGAATTTTTTTCACCCAGCTGTGGTCAGTTCCATCCCAGGAGCAGGATATGTACAGGCAGTCCCCGAGTTACGCGGATCCGACTTATGTCGGATCCGCAGTTACGAACGGGGCACTTCCTCTCCCTGGTCTCGAGCAGACCAGCCCCGCGGCCCCCCCAGCCGCGTCCTCTGGGGCGAGAAAAGCTGCTCTGCGTCTCCCTGGTCTGCTGGGGGGGAGCCCCCCCAGCAGACCAGGGAGACGCGGAGCAAAGCCTTGGAGCACGCCCGCAGCAGGACAGCCCGGGCGCGCCTGGGCTGTCCCGCTGCGGGCGCGCTCCAAGGCTTTGCTCCCCATCTCCCTGGTCAGCAGCCCACCGAGACGCAG